ATAAAAATCAAGAGATTTTAAAACCTCTAAACATAAATAGTTACTTAGAAGTTTCCATTCTGGAATTTGTAAACATATTGGTAATGTTTGAGTAGCTACTTAATAACATATTTTTAGTATAGGTGGGTGTGGTAGGCTGAACAATGCCCCTCCCCCAAAGATATCCATGTCTTAATCCCTGAAACCAGTGAGGATATTATTTTGCATGGTAAAAAGGACTTTGCAGATGTAATTAAGGATCTTTATTTATTTATTTTTTTCCTTTTTGTCTTTTTTCGTGTCCGGCAACGGATCGCAACCCTCGGCGTCGCACCCGCACCTCGCTCAGCCAGTGAGCGGGAACCGGTCTGTATGTGGGATCCGAACACTTGGCGAGAGCGGCGCCGCGCTCGCAAGGAGTGGCACTTGAGGTGACCATTCTGGATCATCCCAGCAGGGGGCAGTGTTAGCTTGTGGAAAAGGCCACTGGGGGCTTAGCAGTTGCCAGGCTTGGGGGCTTGGCCCTAAAGGAAGGAATTTACTACCTGAAGGGCTTGGGGATGATGTGAAGAACCTGCCTTTCAGATCCTGTCCCTCTGGACTCTCAGAATCCTACTTGGAGATGCATGGACCCTGCCTTCAAGAGGTGTGGGGTCCTGAGCTGAAAATTGCCCCTTTCCTCCCGTCCATCTCCTTCCAGATCCAGGGACTTCTGAGTCTTCCAACCCAACCCCGGCTTTGCCTCATAAGGGGAAGTGGTCAACTGGGGCCCTCGGGAAAGGTGGGGTGAGGGCTGGTAGGCAGGGGAAGTAGAGCATTTGGGGAAGTTGGCAGGGGTAATGAAAATCCTTGACACCATTGTTGAGTAAACACTGACCATGCCATCAGGATCTCTCTCAGAACACGTGATCCAGCGGGGATGGGGGGTCATCCTGCAGAGAGCTGTGTCCGTCACCACAGCCAGCCTCGACTGCATACTGTCACCTACAATAGGCTCATCATTCCTTTGTCCGATAAATGCCACAGAGCATCTCCCATGCCCCAGTCCCACCCAGGAGCTGGGATGCCACAAGGAGCAATGCAGACACCCTACCCCTCCATGGAGCCCACAGTGCAGAGTGGGTGTGCAGGGGAGGTTTACTGAATGGATTAATGAAGGGGTTAGCTTGAAGGATTGACTTCCTCAAACAGAAACAGAGGTGAAGCCCTTCCTGAAGTGTTTCTTTACCACTCAAGCTGTCAAGCAGCAAATTCATGGTTAAGGAAACAGACCAGCCTCGAAAGGCACAGGGCGATGTAAGACCAAGTGACAGTTCCATGAAGAAAGTTTCCCTTGTCTCCTTGGTAGCGGTTGATGTCACGAGAAGCTTTGGTGTGACTAAGACATGTATCGACCAGTTTTATGTGCTAATTATTATGCAGAGATGACATCAGGGCAGGTAATTACGGCATCATGATGGGCATGCAGCATAGAGATGTGCACACAGATTCGTAGACTGCAGATGTGCACACACAAACATACTATATCATTCTTCCTGTTTCTTTTCTTTGTCTCTCTTGCTTCCCTTTGTATTTTCTTTTCCCAGAGTGTATAGTATAAGTGGTGTGTGTGTGTGTGTGTGTGTGTATGCACACCTGTGGTCCACCACATATGCTTGCTCACAGGCGTAGACTGCAGATGTGCACACACAAACATACTATATCATTCTTCCTGTTTCTTTTCTTTGTCTCTCTTCTTCCCTTTGTATTTTCTTTTCCCAGAGCGTATAAGTGGTGTGTGTGTGTGTGTGTGTGTATGCACACCTGTGGTCCACCACATATGCTTGCTCACAGGCTTACAGTGGGGCTGGCCAGGGCCCCCAGTGAATTCCCAGCATGGAGCTTCAGAACATATAAAGGCCCAGATTGCTTGGGCCTCTCTGCTGGCTCAGGCTCCTCCCTGATGACTCCACTCAAGCTGTTGCTGCCACCACCTTTCATCCACCGATGCTAACCAGCCTCCTGCCTCCTGGGTGCTGATTCAATTAGCCAAGGTGCCCACCTCCTGCAAGGGCCATTTATAACATCAATGGAGGCAGCTGGCGACCTCAGGCAGGGCGGGGCTGGGAAGCAAGGGGGTTGGTCAGGGAGCTGGCAGGAGGAGGTAGAGGAATGAAAGATCTGGGAGGGGGTATCTGGTCTGATTAGGAATCAGGCTGGCTTCCCACAGCAGGCGCTGTACATCACCACCTGCCTCCGATCCTCAACTCCCAGGTGGGTCTGATGCTGGTCAGCACGGAGCTGAGCCCATCAATCTCCAGGCTCTGGCTAGGCCTGCCTCTCTCCTCTGACTCCCTCCCATCCATGAAGCCCTCTTTTTGACACTAGCTCCTAGATCCTGGTAGAGGCAGGAGGGGGAGTGGACGTGGGGGGCATCAGGCTCTGATGGATTTGTGGTGAAGCTGGAGTCAGCACTGGGCTAAGTAATCTGGGACCTGCACGCCAGGGTCTGATTAGGTGTGCTTCCAGGTATCTTATGAGACAGGGGTGAGAGGAGGTGAAGTGAGAAGTGTGCCTGAGGGGGCAGCAGCGATTAGGACAATGAGAATGTCCCTGGGTTTGTACAGCATTTCATTGTCTACAAACTGCTTTGGGGGCAGGCGAGTGTCCTCCGTTAGGCATGCCGTCTGTCGCTTGACTATCTGGGTTCGAATCCGGACACTGCTCCTTGCTAGCTGTGTGTCTTTGGGCATGTG